CCCCAAAACCCCAAAACCCCAAAACCCCAAAACCCCTGAATTATAACTCAGATTGAAATATATTTTAATATGAACTCAACAAGAATGTTTGATACCATTATTTCTCAGTAATTTTACCTTTCATTGTAGGCCTAGCACGCTCAAGCTCGTGACGTCCCAAACGAGGCTGAAGAAGAGTCTTGCTGCAAAGCACACGATGCTTCCTAACCTTTCTCAAAGAATCGAAAGCAGCCGTCAGGGAAGGGAGAAACCCTTCCAGCAAAGAATGGCTGAGGAGCCAGCCCAGAGCTCAGCTTTGAGGATTCTCATAGAGGACGCTAACAGGATGTTCCGTCTTCGCCAGAAGCGCAAGCGGAATTTGGAAGGAAGTCTTACTCTCAATCGGAAATAACTTCTTGCCGAGTAACACTTCTGACATAATTTTAGGCAAGAAAGGACAAAAGAAAGCCCCCCAGTTTGGAAGACAAGTATCCTTGCTCAAGAAGCTGAAGATCCTTGAGAATCAGGACAAATAAAAAGCTGAACAATCTTGATCGGAGAGACAATGACCGGGCTATTAAGATCCTTCGGAGAAAGATAAAGGAGGAAAGACTTCGAAACGAATATTTTAGTATTTTCTGTCTGATATTTCTAGATAAGAAGCCTGAGCCAGAACTAAGGATATCTCAAAATGCCAAAACTGTAAGGCTGAGGTTTCATAATTTAGGCTCTTAACCATAGTTATGATGTCCTATTCTCAAGTTACAGTAACCACTCATTCATCTGAACTTTTAGAGTCTCCCAGAGAGGACGAGAGTACTCAGAAGGAGTTGGCTGCACTCCAAGACACGTGTCGGCCCTCTTCAACTGAAGAGGATGACAATTATGATAGTCTGAACGCATGCAAGCGGATCCATAATGTTGGGATAACTTTCGATGAAACTGATCAGACTTACTCTCAGAAGGTACCTTCTTTCTTACTTTCTAGGTCTCTGGCTCTCCAGAGGAAAGAAAAATGGTCAAAAATGTCTTGTTTTTGGAAAACAAGTTCGAAGATGAGAGAGCAAAGCTAGAACTTACTTGAAAAGCGATTCAGGAAAATAGCTCCATGAATAAAAATAGTACTCTCCGTGCACCCAGAAGTATCTCTAACTTCATCACTCCAGAGGAGGGCTATCAAGGCTCGACAGATTCCATGAAATTAAGGTATGCTTGAAAGGAGGATGTTTTGGACTTACTAAGAAGCTTTCTCACTTTGAACCAAAAGCTAGAAATTTTGCCAACTATCACCTTTTTCTAGGCGACGTAAATTTCACGGTGTAAGGATACATCCACCTGGGAAAATCCAGATCGAAGCGAAATAAGACTCTAAGGCTACGAAATCCAATGGTTGCCAAAGTTGAAGATCTTGTACGCTAGATTTCTCATCTTTAGGACACCACGATGGACCGAAGGAAGTTGCAAAACAGGAAGCATATGGCCTCTAGAATTCAGGCACACATTCAAGAAGGGCAAGCTCATTTTGAGAGGAAGATATCGCTTGCTCCTAAGTTTTGGAAATAAGGTAGTTCAATCTGAAGATTTCGTGAAGGGGTTTTGGGGTTTTGGGGTTTTGGGGTTTTGGGG